AACAAAGATCTGAGTATCACATGTTCTCACTCATAAGTGGACCTTGAATATCTATCGTAATAGTATAAGAAAATGATCGACAGTGGTGGGAATCTATGGGGGGGCAGGGAGGGCAAGGGTAGTGTGATTAACAGTAGTCAATATCTGTCTGTGGATGGGGGACACCCTTTATCAACAAGGGTGCCTCAATGGTGCATATTTGTATACCTAACCCTTAACTGTACCGCACAATTTTAAAATAAAAAATATGTCTAAAAAAAAAAGCAATAAGATTCACCAAAAGCATAAGTTAGCATGAAGCATTGTTGATGATGTTGAGCAACAGAAACTCCTATTACTTGATGGAAGTATAATTGGTTTACTTTTAGAGGATAGTATGACAATATCTGGTAAACCGAAAATTGCACATTTGGCATTTCAGTAATTCCACTCCTATAGCAGTGGTTCTCACATGGGTAATTTTACCCCCAGAGGACAGTTGCAATATTTGGTGACATTTTTGATTGTTACACTGGAAGAATGTGAGGTGTTACTGGTATCCAGTTGGTAGACGTCAAAGATTTTGCTAAACACCCCACTATGCACAGGTCAGAATCACAAGAAATAATTATTCAGTCCCAAATGTCAACAGTGCTTAGGCTGAGAAATCTTGCCCCAGAAACATGACTAAAGATGTTCATAGCAGCACTCTTTGTAATAATAAAAATAATAAAATGTCACAGACATAATTCTTAAAAAAAAAAAAATGTTAGCTGAGCAAACCAGGCCCAGAAGTTTTATCAATTAGCTTAGATAGTAGGTGGTGAAGCTGAAAATTGAAATCTGGACTCACTCGGAAGATAGGGTGTGGTCTCTAGACTTACAGCGAAAGCACCAAAGGACTTGACTCAGTCTCTTTCCAAAGCTGCTACTGATATCGATGTTATGACAAATCACTGATTGGCCTAACTGTTTCAGAGTGTAGGAGAAGGGAACCAAAACAAAGACTCTTGGCATAGATATTGCATAAAGAAGAAATGGATTCTATTCTAGAAATCCTCAGGTAGCCTCAGGTGGCCAAAGTTTACCACAACCATTGCCAAGAAGATACTATCCAGAAGATACTGCTCAAGTGGGTTAGGAAAGGGCAGTAGATTCCTTCCACTTAGAAACTGCAATTCCAAGTGAGTCTCTGGTATTCCATGGTCTATAGCAGCCAGGTGGGAAGGAGAAAATCTAAGGAGAAAGACAACACAAGAGAGGGAAACTAAAGAGTAAAAGGAAGTCTACAGATAATCTTGCAAAAAAATTTACAGATGAGAAAATAAAAAATAAAAATATTTGTATTAAAAGTCTTGAAAACTAATTAAAAGTCATTAAATGTATGAAGAAAGCATACCCTACTAATAACAGCAAAACATAAAAACTATATCAAAATATCATTTTTGCTTTTAAAATTAAAAGAAAATTTAAAAATAATAATAATTTATATTGGAATGGATATGGTAAGTCATGTACTTGTTATCTACTGATTACAGCATACATGTATACAACTGGTCTGAAAAGCAATTTTATGATGATGTCAAATTTTGTGGCTATTACTTAAATATTTATTCCTTCTTAATACATGGCTATTTATTGGTACAAAGTAAATTACTTCAAAACTTAAAACAATAATTAATATTTATTAACACACATAAATTCTGTAGGACTGAATTCAGAAATGGCTTAGCTAGATGGTTCTAGGTAGGGGTTTCTCATGAGTTGACAATCAAGATTTCAGCCAGAGCTGCAGTCATTCTGAAGGCTTGACTAGGACTGGAAGATCCACTTCCAAGGTGGCTCACTAACATGGCTGTTGGCAGGAGCACTCAGTTCCTAGCCAAATAGACATCTCCATTGGGCTGCTTGAGGGTCTTCTTGACAAAACAGATAGTTTCCCCCAAGGTAAGCAATCAGAGAGACAGCAAGATAGAAGCTCCAATGTCTGTAATGACCTTAGAAGCCACACGCTATCATTTCCACATTATCTTCTTGGTTACACAAGTCATCCTTACTCAGTGTGAAAGTGGACACTAGGAGACAAGGATCATTGGGGCCATTTTATAGAGTAGTTACTAAAGAGAGTAATTATTTTGATGCTCGAAGGATTTGGATCTTCAAGAACTCAACAATTAAAAATAGGCCACTTCTTCTGTTAAAGATATTCCAAGGCATATCTGCTTTAGAATTTTCTTGGTACTACTTTTGAATATGGCTCAATGCTATAATTTAGTATCCTTACCTTGTTTGTTAACAAGCATGAGAAGACATTATGAGAGAAGAGGTTGGACTAGCAGAAAGAAATAGAACTTTCTTTATTGAGGAATATTTCAGACTGATAACTTTTATTTCTAGTGATCAGAGAAAAAATCAAGATATGAATTACAAAAATGAATATTCTTCACAAGGAGAACCTAGTCAACTTCTAAAAGTTCAGCATTTACACTGATTATAATACACTCTTTTCAACAGGATAGATTGAAATGAAATGCTTCTTTTACTCATACTTTTCTAATGTGTGAGTTCCTCTGAGATTAAAAATACTCAGCTAAGAGTGTTTTTACATTGACACCTTAGATTGTACTGTTACACATGTCTATGTCATTCTATCAACTCCAAGTTCCTCAAAATATGAGTTTATTTCTGTTTCATTTCTTCCCTCTATTCACAACCTAATGCAGTTGTGCTCACCACTTCCCTCCCCACTCCCCAGTTTCCTCACTTTATACAAGCAGTTAGATGGTTGCACTTATTACTTTAGAAGAGCCATATGACTGCAAAATCACAAAAGCCCCTGAGCTTAATTGATTTTTATATTTCCAAGGCTCAAGAGATTGGTATGGACTTCAGACTTAGGGAAATGCTTGTTAGAAGTATCAGGAGAGTACACAGAACTTTCCTTTCTCTAGACCTTAAAAGGCCCATGCAGATAGAAATAAGGCAAGGCAACCAGACATGATGATGACCCACGGTATGGAAAAGCAGGTGGCTTCTCCAGCTCTCCACTTTGCCCTACTTAAGCCACTCCATCTGACTGGGAACTTAGACAAAATCTAAGGAAAAAGAGACGGGGCAAATTATCTGAAATTAAATTTCTGCCATCCAATCAGAATGAAGCTTGAACTAGAAAAAGTTGAATTATTGGAAAGTAAAACTTAACATTTATTACACACGCTAGTTTGTGGGTTAAGATTCCTATTTGCTACATTTGTTACTCAGTAAACGTTTGTTGACTTAATAAAATAATTGAATGTGTAAATGAAAAATAAATAACTGTAATAGATCTACGTTTGCCCAGAGTGAATGCTTTTTAATGAGGCAGCCACAGGCAAGGTGGACTAAGATGAACACAAAGGCCTGGGCATCTAGACTAGGCAACCCTTTCTCTCCTTTAGCAACCGGGGATTTTCCTTGGGACTCTATAAGTAGTGTAGACGGGGTTTTATTTTCCTGGGTTCCCAGTGGTGGGGTGAGATGCTTAAACAAGAAAAAGGGCCTGTTTTACTTTCAGGTAACATATGTAAAAGCGGTTAGCAATAGAACAGTAGTTACTAAGTAATTCAATTCACCATCTCTTACCCTCAGACTTTTTCTCCAAACCTGATCGCTCCAATCAACTCTAGGCCCCGCCTCTTCTGGACCCGCCTCCTTCGGCTTGTGGGATTGGCTCTTCTTACATTTCCGGCTTCGGGACCTCCGGCTTCCGGTGTCATGGCGGCCGGGGGGCCCCGGGGGCGGTGAGG